CCATTTAGGGAACAAAATTATAAACATCCATCCGTCAAATATTCTCAGCTGACCAAGGTACCAGCGCAGCAGCATTTGACCTGGTTATAAAAGAGCTGTTCCTCCATCCTGAGATTTAGAAAAGGCATACAACAACAGAGTGAGGAAAAAAACCCCACTATTTAGCAAAAAGATCAAGTGAAATGTGAATTCTCTTCTGTTCCAACCTGCTACAGCAGAAACTTGGAGGTAGCTTGACTCTCAGAAGCATGTGTCAGTGCCTCAAGCTTCCCTCCCCTCCTGCAGGTCAGGCAGACTGTACCTGCAACAACCACGTGCTACAGACTCACGAGAAAGTGGGGAGTATATAATAATAGCGTTGTTGCAGTACACACAGGAATTAAATTCAGTAAGTACACATGGGAAACAAATTCAGTAATGCCGCCCAGCCCAAGCCACGGGGAAGCTTTCCGTTCCCATGAAACCAGGATTTGGAATGACGGTAATCGTTTTCTTTGACAGACAGAACAAATGAAAGCCAAGGTACTGGTGCACTCTCTAAACCTCAAACAAAGCTCTGCTCCAGTCCCAAGCCCTTTTCATCAAAACTCTTCTGATAACTTTCTGAGTAGCTCATCAACTCAAAAAGTCAACGCTAGAACCATCTTCAGGTCTGACTTCACACCTGAAAAGCCAAGATTCCTATCTCATGCTTTTGATGGTGAGTTTATCCAAAGGAAATCTGGACTTTTCACCAGCCTGCTTTGGTCCCCTTCCCACAAATGGAGTTTCCAACTTCTGATAGCAAGATCTACCCCTGAAAGGGTCAATAACTTTCCTCTGAAAACCCAGCTGAGCAGCCTGGGAGGTACAGAATAGCTTTTACTTTTAACAGAAAGAAAGAGAACTGAGACAGCTCAGGTGCTGTCACGACTACATAATTTGAACAACTTTCTTCCTGTAACACACTAGAGTACATAAATCCAATAACAGCAATCAGTATCAACATAGTTCTGACAACTACTATGCTGAATGCTACTGACCATGAAAAAACTGCCTTGCTCTGCCTGACAGCATGACTTCTGTCTCATAGCCAACCTAGTAGCGCAGAGTTTAGGAATTTCTGCTGATGTACTCCATGGCATGAGACACACGTGACAGAAACTCCAAGTTTGGTCATTTCTAAAGTAGCATTCTGCTTGAGAACAAGCTGCTTGCAGAACTCGGTTCTACTAGGCAAGGAGCATTTATGAAGAAGTCCTTTCCTTAAAATACAAGTATTCACCCTGTTGCAGCATTACCCAGGATTTAAGAGGCTACAAGCGTTTCACAGTATCCACGGAGAGGTCACGCTCAGCACTATACGTGCACTTACCTCCTTATCAATCAGCCTCAATGCATACTTGACTTCAGGATCCTTCAGAGTAATTGCAGGACGGGGATTCCTGAAAAGCCTCCAGATGGTGGTGCAGGTTAGCCATATTGGGTATGTCACTAATCGAAACAACTGCAGCAATACAGAAAGTGTTAGACATGCGTGCGTAACAAAAGAAACCTATTTTGGCGAGAAGGAATACGGTAGCATGAGATGACAATCTAACCACCAAAAAACCTATGTTTCTTTGTACTAATATGAGCAGGAAGAGGAAGTTTTAAAAAAACACCAGCCAGTGTAACACACAAATTTGCTTTATGAATACCTGGCATTACTCTTACATTGAGGCACTTCGCATACCACCAGAGGGTTGCCAAACCTGGCAGCTTGACAGATGTGAGGAGGCCACAGCTCCATGCTCCCAGGTCCAGACACTAGCAAGGCTGAGCACGTATATCCAGCAGGCGCACACATAGACACACATACACAACACAACACGTGCCCAAATCCACACGTGGCTGGACACACTGATCAGCACAGACAGATTCTCACACAAAGAGCACTAATGGTCTCATCCTGTTCCCCTCCCTGATGGATCAGGATGAAGGTCTGTTAGTGGGAAATACACGTATACACATGCGTATCAGGTGGATCCATCAGTAGCTGGTGTCTTCACAGCAGCTGCTGGCAGACTCCAGTCTCCCCAGTTGCTGACATCTGGACGTATAAGCCACTGTTGCACAGACCCCTTTGCACACTATCACATGTGCTGTGGACCCCTGAGTAACTGGGGGTCTCACACTCGACCACAGACCCCCCTCTCTCTCTGGCAGACGACCAGGACCCCTGGCCCCTCCAGCAGCCAGCGCCTTCAGCGGTCTCATGCTCAGAGATGCACACACACCTGGCTCACAGGCCACCTCACCTACTTGCTGCCTAGTCCATCTTGATCTTTGCTAGCCATCGCACACTCGCGCTGGGTGCTGGCACCACAGACACGCTGGCACCACAGACACACAGCCTGGCTCCAGGCACTAGAGCTTACACCTCCACACAGACACGTGTATGCAGAACAGCATCGCTCCCCGGGAAAGCAGCTATGGAGTTTAACGAGGACACTGGACAGACTGCGCTGACTGGTTGCAGGAAACAGCAAGACAAGGGTACAGAGCAGGCCTGTTTACGCAGGGTCAGCCCTTTTTATCCATTTATCCTTTTATTTTCCCCATATTTGCTCCTCCACAAATGGCCTCGATCCCTGCCTTTGATTCCTCCCTTAAACGTCCCACAATCCCCAAATGCTCTTCCCCTACATCCCGTGCATCCCCAGCCTCCCAGTGACCCATGCAGACAGGTGTCACCCCCGGCCCACAGGGCAATGGCTCTCCCGGACAGCTTTGGCAATGGCTGGGGCTCATTTCTCTGGGTGGGATATAGGGGCTGCCCCACCTGCCAGTGTCTCTGTGCTCCTCCGCATGCACGTGTGGGGAGATAAGCCTTCTCGAGTTGGCTGCTCTCCGGTGATGGGCCTGGGAGTAGCTGGGTCAGGGTATCACCCAGGTTCCCCACCCACCCTTGTGCCTCTGTGCTCCTCGGTGCACGCACAGGCAGCCAGGCTCCTCAACCACATCACCTAACATGCACCGCTGCTTTGGTGCATACTTAGATTGCATACAACGCACTAACTTACTTTTGGAAAGCTCAAAGTCCTGCCTGGTTAGCTTTCACTTTCATTTTCTTTTAAAGGAAGCCGACCAGTCTTTTAGAAGCACACGTTTCCAAAAGTGTGACACTTCTCAGGAGGCTATAAAAAAGAATGCCCTACATTATGACTACTAAAACTGTGGCAAGGGTAATTTTTTTTTAAAAAGCGACAGCATAAACTCTCTCTTCTTAAAATGCTGCTGTACAGGTTTAAAATATATCGACACTGGGTATAGCTTAAAGACACACCATGCCATACACAGACACTGTATTTTTCACTTTTATTTGAAAATACTTAAATTGCTCCACAGAGTTTTTTCCTGAAGAAGCTGAAGTTTACAGGAATGCTATTCTTTAATTCCTGCAGATCTACCAGATTACTGCAGCTCCAGAAAGAACTTTTGTTACTGAGTGACAAAAAATGGAGGAGGGGAGTTTTTAAAGAAAGTGACAGAGCAGCAAATAAACTCCCTAATGACAACTGCAATAGGTGAATGAGACCTGGTGGAGATAGCAAGCTGAATCTGCAGCACATGATGTTTCAAATAAGACCTTAATACATTAAAGTAAACTTGTTTCATTTACAGGTGTGGCTATCTAAAATGAACCAAAAAAACGTGCAGCTGTGGTCTAGCAAAATTGCAGTTGAAAACAGGAATTCAAGAACTTTGGCTCAGCCCCAACTCCAACACTAATGTATATCAGTATAAGATGATCGGGAAGACAGGAGAGCGGAGTTCAATGCAAGTCAGTTTCTCCACCTGTGTGCAGGAAGACAGGAGAGCAGAGTTCAAAATATCATCTATGCAAGTCAGTTTCTCCACCTGTGTGCAGAGATAAACATTTTCTCCCATCCTTGTAAATCATTTTTGGATCATCAGATGTCAAGTGAAAACCACCACAGCTGTTCAATAAATGAGATTAACACACTCTTTAAACATATGCATAATCATCACTTTTTGAAGCGATGCACCAGATCCGAGTCTGCGGGAGCAGAATGCAGTTTAATTTTGACAAATACTTTTAACACAGTGTTAGCCTCGTGGAAGGCAATTTGTTATTCATGGTCAATTAGCGCAAAAGCCACTAATTCAGACAGCTATTTTATTTTCTTTCTCAGAAGATATCAGCTGGGGGGCAGAAAAAAGGGGAAGAACTGAATGTTGAATGATTACAAAAAAGTTATCCTTGCTAAGAAATATGTTCTCAGGGTTAAGAGATCTATGTACTCTTACCACAGAGTATATCAAGATAGTCATGAAAATAACTGCACTGCAGCCATGGAAGCTAGATCAGATCTACAGCAGCAAAGGCTGACCATAAGGCCAGGAATCACTAAATGAAGATCTGGTGACTCATAGTTTCCAGTTGCACACATCTTTGCTAACAGAGATCACAAAATAAGTAACTGAGCAGGAATTTTTATTAATGGAAACAGACCTCTGTGGAATAACAAAAAAGGCCAGAAGAAAGAAAAAAGCCATAGCATTCAGATTGCCAGCGCTTTCCACTAGGGCGTGGTGAGCAAAACACAGTTACACACAAGCTTATGGCAGGACACTCCATCACTGAACTGCCCTACAAACACACAGGCCAAATGCTTCTTTGGCAAGAAAAGCCTTGTGCCCTCAGCTCCAACCCCCGCCCCCGCCCCCCCCCTTCCTCATTCAAACCCTATTTTTAAGTGATCTTACTTAAACATTCTTCTGGTCTGTTTTAGAAAATGGTGAGAGGATTAAGGGACAGGCACTTCTGCAGTTTTATCATCTGCCTCACTCTTTTCTGTTCAAGTAACCTAATAAGCAGCTGTACCCAAACTAGCTTGTGTAGCATCCACCTCCGTCTCGCTCCTCTCACAAACCCAGAGCCAGGAATGTTTGAACAGGTGCATCAGAGGAAAGAAAAGATGTGTCAGGCAGCTGCAGAAAGAGGGAGGGTAACGATGCATGCTATGGTTAACAGCACTGCAAACCCACCACTTGGCAGACATGACCCCAAAAGAGCCCTCCACTACAACGGCAGCTGGCAGGCTGGTGGTTTCGAAGCCATCAGCACGGAGACCGAAAAACTATTCAGGGAACTGAAAGAAGAATGCACAGGCCACACCACCAATCCCACGCAGAAGAGCTGCGGGTGGTCCACACCGCCACAGACACCCCGACCCACGCCAGCCAAGAGAAGGTCCCAGAGCCACCGCATCGCTGCTGGGGGGACGGGACGGGGGGGGACACACACAACGGATGAGGCTCCCAGCGCAGGCACCCCCCTTCTCCCTCCCGGGTGATGGGCAAAGGGCAGGGGAGGCAGCAGGGGCCTCGGGCACCCTGTGACACCGCCCAGCGGTCCCCGCTCTGCTCAAGCACCCAGAGATC